GCATGGGTTTTGTGCAGTATTGTGAAGGCGTGTCTCCAAGTCTGTAACCGTCAGGTGAAGACAGCTTGGGCGCCTGTGTTTTGGATCTAATGATCACTCTGTGTTGTATCTACCCAAACTGCGCCACCACTGCCAACTACACAACAAACAGCAACTACAATTCTGTTGTCAGAGGGTATATCCGACCCGCCCTCTAGAGGTTTTTCAAGAAAATGCCTCCAGAGGGAGTTCTCATTTGCTCCCCACATGGAGGGTTTACAATGTTAACCCTCGGCACATATTTCAGTTTCGGATTCCCTTTAGAGGGCTTCAAAACCCTCTAGTGTGGAAAAAGAGGGTTTCGTCCTCGACAGACGTTGGGGAGTTCCAACCTTTATGAAGGTGTTCTCCACAATACCCCCCCCATTTTCGAGGCTTCTTCTTGTTTGCTAGGCAAGAGAGGTCTTCTTGGGGTAACCGGAACCCGACCGGCTGGTGAGTCTTCTTGGGGTAACCGGAACCCGACCGGCTGGTGGCGAGTAGAACCATCTTTTTTCCAACAATCTTCTGTGCGTGTGTGCGGGTACACCACTTCCGCCATGCATTGCCAGAAGTTTCGAGTTCGATAGACAGTGCATCGTTTCTTGGCCCACCCACCGTTTTTCTTTTTAAAAATACAGTACATATATTACGACTTAGCAGACCACGCGCTGGCTCGAGGGGGGGGTCCGAGGGGGGGTTTACCCCCCCCCGGCACTCGTATGGTGACCCAGCAGACAACGCGTGCGGTGGACCAAGCATACCACCCGTGTGGTGAACCCAGCAAGTCACGCGCTGGCTCGAGGGGGGGGTAGTTTGACCTAGCATACGACTACACGTGCGGTGGACTAGCCAAACCATGGCCAACAAACAGCAGTAGACTGCTGTGTGACTACATGCACAGCAGTATAGCGTACAACGGCTCGCACGTACGACCACGCATCATAGGCACACACATTCACAGGTACTGCTGATGGAGGTGCACACGTTTGTAGCTGACAGAGCTGTGTGTGTGCATCTCTCCCTGTGTGTGCATCTGTATGTAGCTGCGGCAGCCAACGGGTGAGTGACGTCAACCCAGCAGATCACGCGTAAGAGATCCATCTGCTGTCACCTCCATTT